TTAATTTTTTTATTTTTATATCTATTTTTAAAAATATATTTATTAATAATAAACAACAATTCTTATGTTTTTCTAATTATGTATTAAATATTTAATTATTGTGTGTTTATTTGTATTTTTAAAACGTTTTTATTTCTAGCTTTCAATAGTTTCAATAGTTATTATTTGTTGTTATTATTGTAGATAATTTATATATAAAATATTTTGAATTACTGTTTTCATTTTTATTAGCTTCAGTGCATTAATTAGCATGCTGACAGTCTGCTGTACTTCAGCTGCTCAGCAAAATCCTCTCTGAAAAGTTGTGTCTTTAAGTTTTCCCCCTTTAAATCAGCGTTGCTATAGCCAGACACATGTAGATGAATGTCTTTGGCTGTTGTGTCACGTCACTCTGTTTTTGAGCATCCCACCATGAGTTTTGCATTTTTAAGAAAATATGTAGTAGTGCACATCCCTAGATTCTCATCTTTTGGCCGCATGAGCGTCACTTTCAGAAATACTTGCATTTTTCCTTTAGGTTCTTATTATTTATTTATTTTTTGACATAGCATGAACTCTAGTGTGCCCTTAAACACAAACCCACATTCTTTGGCTTTGTTTTTCAGCTCTTATAAACCCCTCTGAGCAGAAAGTCATAGATGAAAAGAGGAAAAAGGAAGCAAGCATTAGATACATGGGCTGTTGGCGGTTCAAAGCAGCAGCTGGACGGCATGCTGGGATTGTCACTCGTCTCCTCATCTCTATGATTTATACAGTGCAATAAGTGATGCAGAGATGGGCTAACAGGCCAATAGACAGCAGGGCATTAGCATAATGTGTGCAGCGGAGAAACGCTGGAAGACTGTTGCACCTTTAAATGCAATATACCACATTTAGATTAGCTCTGCCTGCAGATGTCTTCCTTCATTGGGATTGGGGATCTTAGATATTCAGGATATGAAAATAAGAAAAACCATGCTAACCGAAGTCCAGCTAACTGTGTTGGTTTTTGTCCCTGTTTATGTCAAAATATGCTCTGCAAGGCAAATCTAGTTTCCAATCCATTCAGTTAATTTAGAAGATGTAGAAATCAATCTTATGGTTGAACGTTGGATGTGCACATTTTGTTTATGATTAATAGAAAGTTCAAAAGAACTGCATTTATTTGAAATTGGAATGTTTTGTAACATAAATATTTTTACTGTCACTTTTGATCATAATAATGTATCCTTGTTAAATAAAAGTATTAATTTCTTAAAAAAAAAAAAAAATCCCACCAAAATACCCGGCCTTTTGAACGGTAGTTTACGTCTCCGTTTCATGCACTGCACACCATAAATCCATTTAAATTCTCTTCATTTAGCCTGGCTTTATGTAGCAATTCATGATCGAAGATTCGTGTTTGTGCATTCCCTTCCAAATACTAAATGAAATTCACAGCTCGAGGTAAATTCATCTCTAAAAGTAAACCCATATAAAGCACTAGAATGACTAAACGTGCCTGGAGCAACACAACAAGGTTTACCAACAGGAAAAGTAGCTCTGTTGCTCGAGTTTATAGATGAATAGTTTTTTTTTCTGTCATGTCTTTGAAGACATTGACGTCCTGTCATATGTCTCGTCCTGTAGAGATGTCCGTGAAGAGCTGAGGATAAAGAAGACAGTTGATGCCTGGATCAATACACTCAGCAAGGAGATTCAGGTGAGTTGAACTGAAAGATCGTCTTTTTTTCAGCCTTCACATACAATCTGGTGTTTCTGCACAATCTGTCAGTGTTCTTTGTTCTCCAAAATACTGTTTTAAAAGAGAAAATATTTGAATAGTCATTAGTGCTTTTTGCCTTTGATAATGCTTGGCATTGAACAGAGGTCTGCTATTACTTTTCCAATCATCGTTTATGATTATTTACCTGGCAGACAATAAAACGGACAAAAACTCACCACATCATGCACTTCAAAAGTTTCTGAATTGTTTTAGCTTATATTACAGTGCACAATCCATTGAGCACACATGCAAGTGTTTCTGACTACAAGGTCTTCTTGTCTCTTTCTCCTTCTCTTTCTCCTGGCAGGATGAGCTGGTGAGGGAGAACTCTGAGAGGATTGTGGAGAGGAGCGATGCTGCAGTCTCTAAAGTGGTGCAGCAGGGCCAGGGGAGCAGGAGCGGACGTGTGGCTGGTCCGAGAGGGGGAGGAAGAGCAAGAGGGGGAAGTGAAACCTCTGCGGCAGAGAAGAAAACCTCTCTGAGAGGCTCAGTTAGAGCGCAAGCAGAAAACACACTGGCACACAGCAAACAACCCGCTCTGTCTGTCAGAACCAGACCTGAAGGGAAGCGAGAGACGGTGAGCAGGATTATATCAGTGTTATCTAATGCAGTGCCAAATGTGTTCACACAATGAACAGTAACCAAACTCCTCTGAGGATCTGTTGCAATACCTAATGAGCTGCCTACCTAGACATCATACTCCTGACTATTCCAGATAGTAGGCTGTGAAATAAGATACCTCATTTTGGTCAAATTTGAAATTTGTTCACACAGAATGTGTTTTTGCTTTTAAAAATGCTAAATGCCACACAGTAGCGTTTAGCCACAGCGCTGATGGATGCAAAAAGATGGCAGTGTCTCGAGACGTGTTATAACGTGACAAAGCATTTTTAAAAATGTTGCTCGTGAGGGATTTAGGGGGTCTGTGGAAAATTTCAGAGAAAAACAAATATACAAAATGTATGTTTTAGGAACACTATTTATTGGGAAAAAATTAAATGAAATTAAACTTGTTTTTATTTTGGTTTATACATATCTCTCTAATAGTGGATAGAAAAAAGATACACTTATTAGAAATATATACATATAGAAAAATATAAGACATAAAATAAATATAATCCCAATAAAGTTATGTATGTATAACTTAATGTATATAACATTTATTTATTTATTAGATTTTTTTCTTTATTTTACTGTATTTTGTATGCTCCACTGTATATTTAATTTTCAATTTATTATTTACAATTAATTATTGTGATTAGGTAGAATAGATCTTTTCATTTAAGTATTAAATGAATAGCTAAATAATTTAAGTAATTTATGTGGATAGATAGATAGATAGATAGATAGATTATTATATATATATATATATATATATATATATATATATATTGTATCGGCCATCGGAACTACTTCTGTTAGCCAAAACACAAACATTAGAAATAAACCAGATTGTCAAAATCACTTAAATGTAAGCATATTTATTATTAAATATAATTCTGAATTGTTGAATGCCTTTCAGTTTTACAACAGTCAGCTATTATTTGCGGATACCATTAAAAAAATAAAATAGGAATAAAAATATAAGATTATCTGGAATCAGCATGTTTTGAGGTTCTTGCCATTAAAAAGTCTGAAAACCCAGACTTGCTGTATGAGGTCTCATTTTGGTTTGGATGCTGCCTATGTAGGCAGTAGATTATGATTATATGACACTAGAGCTTTATAATTGGCTCTTTGGCTATGGTCCAAATCATCTGTGTGTTATATTGAAACTGATAATGAACTGTAGGTTCTGTTAACCTATTTGTTTGCAGCGTTTGTTCCTGTATGTGTTGTTTACTTAGCACCGTGACCTGACAAGCTCACAACACTCCCAAAATGGCCCATCTGGATGTAAGCACTGTAGCTCAATACTTCTCTGTGTCTCAGTGGCATTTTCTCTAAATTAGCCGCTTTGAGTACCCATATGCTGCCCCGACACTAATTTGCTAAAAATAAAGAGCGAGAAGACGAGAGGCAGGCCTGTCTTATCTGTGTTTGGCACAAGCCTGGTCCTGTTAATGGCCGTGCATGTTGCCTGGTGTTTGCGTGGATGATTCTTAACCTAGCAACACATCCAGTGGTTATCTGAAGGTTACTATGTGTGGAGGCCATTCAGGCATTTAATTGCTGCTATCGGTAAAGGTGCAGTCAATCCAGACAACAGAGCACACAGTTACAAAAGGTTGAGCGTTATTTTGCTGGAGACACTCTCGGGTTGCCATGAGTTTTAGATGAAACTAAATGAAATCCATATGGCAATACCTCACTTTACATAAGCAAAGTTATCATTTTCTACTTTTTAAACACATTCTGATCAATCTTATAGCATGTAGTCTTTTATATATCTGTATATTTATTGTGCCATGTTTGCTGTAGATATGAGTGTTTTGTTTTTGTTTTTTTATACATATCAGTGTATAGAAGTATAATGTACTGTACCATGTTTACCATAGAAATTAGTGTATTATAGTATTAGTATACCATGTTTACCATATATATGAGTGTATTATAGCGTAGCATAGTTTACCCTGTTTACCATTTTTTGAAAGAAATACTTTTATTCAGCAAAGACACATTAAATTGATCAAACATGGCAGTAAAGACATTTATAATGTTACAAAATAATTCTATTTCAAATAAATGCTGTTCTTTTGATTAATAATAATAATTAATGATAAATGCTGAATAATAATAAATGCTGTTCTTTCTATTTGTTTTCTAAATAAAACAAATAAATAAATCAAATCAAATAATCCCGAATCTTGGTTTCAAAAAATATTAGTAATACCTGCTGAAAATCCAGCTTTTCATTACAGGAATAATTTACATTATAAAATATAGTCAAATAGAGAACCGTTAGTTTAAATTGTAATAAAATTTCATGATATTTTTGTTTTTACTGTAATTTTGTTTAAATAAATGCGGCTTTGGTGAACGTAAGTGGCTACTTTCCAAAACATAAAAAAAATCTCATAGATCCTACATTTTCAAATGTATTATAAAAGTGAACATAATATAATATAGTTACCTTAGTTACCATAGATATATATATTATAATATAGTATTATATATATATTATAATATAGTATATATGTTATAATATAGATGTGAGGATAACAATATAGTTTACCATGTTTACTATAGATGTGATTGTTATACCATAGATGTAAGCGTAACATAATATATTTTACTATGTTTATCATCAATGTGATGAAATCATAATATAGTTTTCCATAGATATGAGTGTACTGTATCATAACATATTGTGCCATGTATAATGTATAAAATGGCATGTTGTTACACCGTTTGTTGATGGAGTGTGTATTATTCTTTCAGGCTCAGCCGGCTGGGATAAAATCTCAGGATGATCAGGAGTATCTGGTCAGGCTGTATGGAAAAGCCCTTTATGATGGCCATCGACGAACACTTAAAAAAAGCCCTTACCTTCGATTCAACTCCCCCACGCCAAAATCCAAACCGCAACGACCGAAAGTAGTAGAGACTGTCAAAGGTGAGGTAAAGGTCTTCAATTAGTAATTATTTTCTTTTTATGTTTTGTTACATTATAGGACTATATTTTTAATAGGGAAATTTGTTTGGCTGTACTGCCTAGCAACCTGCAAAGAAGTCTTAACAAACAACATGAAAAATGATCGTGACCACCCCTAATTTGGCCTTTTCTGTCCAAGATCTTGAATGCTACTTGTCCCTCCCTTTTCATTCTCTCAAATAGGGGTGAAGATGAAGTCATCTAAAACCCAAACTAGCCAGTTTGTGGATGATGGTCCTGCGCTGCAGTCTTCAGTCTCTGAGCCCCATTTCCTGTTCAGCCCCAGTGATCCTGCCCAACAGCAGCAGCCTGGCTCTCCAGTGCGAGGTTACCTCATTCCCATGGCCATACCTTTAGGTAAGCCACCATTAGCACGAGTAGAAATCACTCAGAATCACTGCTAGGTCTGCATGATTAGGAAAAAAATCTAATTGTGATTTTTCTGATAAAAAAAATTGTGATCGTGATTTAAAATGCATGTTTGCTGTGATTGTAAAGCTGCACAATTTGGCCAAAATTTTGTGATTATATGTCAGTATGGCTATATAATAATAATATTAATAATAATCATCATTATTATTATTATTATTAAATAAAAAAATATAATATTTGCTAAATAAAAACAATATAATATAATAATAAGAAAAATAATATAATAATATTTTATTTTACATTAGAATCGTAAAACTACAATTCTAATATTTGGCTTAATTTCTTCAATTTCAAATGTTAAACCTTTCAACTTATATTTTGATGAAAAACTGCAGAGAGCTCTTAAAGCGTCACTTCTGTTGATAAGCTCTTCTCATTACATGTATGGGAAGATGGTTGGGGCATGTTGTGTTCTCAAATGCATGTTAAAGTGACCCAGACTCAGAGCAGATGCAGAGATTCACTCTGAAGCACGCAGCTCATATTTATTTAATTAAATCGCAGCCTTTGTGATTTGATAATTACACTATGCCAAATTGCAGTTTTGGTTGCATTTCAAATAATCATGCAGCCCTATTCATTGCTTCTTTTCTTATATATTGCAAGGGTGCAGCTAAATTTGATGTAATGGGAGTTCTGTTTATGACCTCATGATTTTGCATCAGGATTTTGTCTGTGATGCCTAAAAATACCTAATACACACACAATTGATGACACAATTGATGACACACAGTGTTTGCTGTTCGGTGTCCATTAAACCTCTGACCATTCTGAAACAAAGACGTCTGACGCAGCATGAATGGTTGAGACAGCCTCCACATGCTGCAGTCATAAAGCGTCTCTCCTCTGGCTGGCTCTGAGCACACGCCAGCATTAAAGAATGGACTTAATTAGACAGACATTTCAGCGGTGTGAGTTTAGCTCTTAATTACGGCTGCCTCTCCACTCGTTAAAAGCCTTACTATGCCGCTCTCGTTTAATCACTGCCAGGGACATTAATGCCTTTCTATTACACTCTCATTTTCCCGCTTCCAATCACTGCGAACTTCATCTCAGATCCGACCTTGTGCGGTTGGACGTAATTCTGTTTATTAGCCTGAACAGCCATATGAATGAAAACACCGTCATGCTTTACGAGGGCACTTTTTAGGGCAGTAATTGCAAATAGCCAATTGAAAACATTTTGAAAGTGTTCATATTATGAGTTTCTTATATTCCATCTCCCCTTCCTTTTGAGGATTACGACCTCCTGGCACCGAAACGATCCATTAGTTTGCTAACAGCTGAATTGCTGTCGTTATTTTCTGCAATGGACTGAAGAGGTAATTAAAGGTATTACATAAAAAAATGGCAAAGACGAAACACCTTTGCTCCGCTAAAGCTGTTTACAGTATTCAAATGTTTCCCAAATTGTGGCTCAGGGTATTGAGAAATTAACTAGCAGTAATGAAAATGGCCTAGTAATGTTTGAAATGGCAGGTGGGCTGTTGCCGGTACGCTGGACTGACCTCTGATCTGAGCTACGCTAGAGTGAACAAAGACTGGCTAATCACATCTGCAGTGCAGTGGCCCTGATCGCCGTCGTAGACACTGAACTCCCTTCGTGGTCATATTGAAGTTCCTTTCGCTACTAGTTGCATTATTGGAATTCTTCTAAGGAATAACTGCAGCTAGAATGCTAATGTTGTTCAAATATTAGAATTGAACATTAGCCTTTTTTTTTTTACGTTTATGTAACACTAATGTTTGTTTTTTGTGCATTTGTGCATGTGTCTGAAACAGACAACTACTGCAGAATTGTTCCTGAAGTGACGAGAAGTGTGGGTTTTTTCCTCAAAAAAAAAGTTTGTATTTTTAATTACATATACTTCTTTCCAAATCTTTCTTGCTTTATTGTAACATTACCTTGACATATTTATGTCAGCAGAATTCAACAGAATTACCAAAAAAATGTAAATAATTCACAACATCACAGTAAACCATATGTTTGTTTGCGAGACATAAAACCACACATGATCAAATCATTGAAATTTGCCCGTACATTGAAATTTTCTCAACTCTCACACTGACCCGTCTGGCCTTGTTTAGCCATGCTGGTCTTCTCAGCAGGGATGTTGAGGGAGGGTCTAAAATGAAAGTGCAAAGCAAGTTAAACGCATTCTCCTACATTTCAGAGCATCTCCATCTCATTCCCAAAATCAGACCCGTCTAACTTTCATCCAATGAAAGTGAAGGATCTCCTGATAACTTCTTTAATACCCCACATTAACTAAAAGCACATTTTCTACCAGTCGAGGCAATTCCCAAGGCGTCTTAATCGTCCACCAGTGTCATCCTTGTGGCTGTTCTATTTCCCGTCACACCGAATGTGTGAATGAAACCCAAGCGGAAAGTTCCAGACTCTCATTAAAAACCTCCCAGCCACTTCTGTATTAGTATCTGTGAAGGAGAGAGTCCAGATCGGGCCAGCCTGGATTGGATTGGCTTGCCAAGGCTCAGACTGGGTCTCTGGAGGGCTGTAGATTAGAGCTGGCTTAATTTCCCTCTCTACCGTGACTCTGGGGACAGCAGTGGGAATTGCAGAGCGCCCCATGGGAATGGTGAGAGAGCCTTTCATCTGCTGCAGATGTTCGGTGCGGCTCATCCACAGACGGCCCCCGAGTCACAGTTACACGCGAACGACAGCAGACAAGCTCTCCGCAAATCTGCTTAGCAAGTTCTGCACTCCGAGAGTAGAAAGTGGCAGTCGAATCAACACAGCAGCGATCAAGGGAAGTCAGAGTTTATACGGTTTACAGCAGCATTCCCATTTTCAGTCTAACTCAGGAGCTTTTATGATACTTTTTCTTTCTTTAAATAATAACATGGTTGTTCTGTCTATCTATCCATCTGTTTATCGTTGTCTGTCTGTCCGTCCATCCATCCATCCATCATCATTCTGTCTATCCATTCATCAGTCCATCCATCCATTGTTCTAGCTCTCATCTAGCTATTGTTCTATCTATCATAATATCTATCTATCTTTCCATCTGTCATTCTGTCTGTCCATCCATCCATCCTGTCTGTCATTCATCCATCTATCTATCTAGCGTTCGTTCGTTCTATCTATTGCTCTATATATCGCTCTATCTATCGTTCTATCGCTCTATCTATCGTTCTATCTATCGTTCTATCGCTCTATTTATCGTTCTATCGTTCTATCTTTCTATCTTTCTATATTTCTCATTCTGTATGCCTGTCCATCCATCCATCATCGCTCGCTCTATCTGTCCATCCATCCATCAGTTTAATTCCTCTTCCTTACATTCAGATTTGAATTGCAATTAATGCTCAATTCATTTCTGAATTATGCACAACTTTGTATAATGAACAATCTTTTTTCTTTTCTTCCCCAAATGTATTATTGATAAAAAAAGAATCCTTGTGAAGACTCGTAATTTACACACTGATTTCTGCTCTTGTTTGGCCGAGATGCTTTGATGGCTCATGCTCACTATAGCTTGCTGTCTCTGAGGTGAATTCCTGGTGGTAGCCCCAATGGTGAAGATGTGACTAAATTGCATGTGGTTGCAGAAGTGGGGCGTGTGCACACATATTTATGTGCGTTTATTTAGTTCTAATCATCTCATCATCGCTCTCTCCATCATCTTTCCCAGGTCTCCTGATGCTGTGTCCTCGGGTCCAGTAAAGTCAGTTTTTTTACATTTACATGTTCTTGGATGTATTCCCAAGCATTTTGGGGGCTGTGAATTCTGTCCCTTCATTCGGCTCTTTGTTTCCTTGCACGCCTTGTGGCTTCTCTGGTTTGCATATACCCCGTAATAGCATCTCTTACTGTCCATCATTGTGCTAATCAGTCCGATCTGGTTTCGCATTTCAGAGCGCACACTCTCTTGAGGTTCTGGAATACAAATGCCTCCTTTCAAGCTTTCCTTCAGCAGAAGCCACATGTTTGCTATCAGAAGTATTTGTGCATTCCAGATGAGTCAGTGCTTCTTGCTCCTGAGCCACTGTTTGGATGCCCTTCAGCCAAATTATGGAAATCGTAAAGCGTATGTTTCCCCTGCTTTGCATTGAAGGCTGGGAAAAACAGATTGCGGTGCTCACAGCAGATTTATGCTAATGCCAGTCTCCTCGTTCGCCGTTAATGTGCCGAGGCCAGACTCACGTCTTTATGTAATGGGGCATGTGTGTCTATAACATGCCTTCCTGCAAACGGGGATGATACAAACCCACTCTAGAGCACTCTGGCTGAACCTGTTTCTCTCACGGCCCCGTTGCAGAACAGATGCCAATCATGTTGGCATCCCGCTCGGCCAGATGTGTGCAAATGTGTTTTGGGCTGACACGGCACTTTAAAGTACCGTGGATGTCCTTTGCAATCGCTCTGCGGTGTGTTGAGAGATGAAGTAATAAGTAGGTGTGTGTGTGTGTGGGCTCCATCTGCAGGAGTGCGTCTGTCTTTAATATCCCTCTTGCGTGAGTATTAGGGTGGCGTTGTGCCCTTGCCTGTAAACAGCATGTTGATGTTATCTGCGCTGCATCAGGACGATGGATGTGCAGACTTTAGGACTGTTTGGCAGAGGTGCGTTTAGGCTGCCGGAGTGTATTCCTTGTGCACTCACGCATCCTGTGGAAAAAAGGGGGATGGAGATTTTGTGTTTAATGTCGCTTCTAGCTGTTATGATAATGTTTCACTCTGCAGACATGTTCACGTATCCCCAATGCCTGAATAAAAAGGTGACTTTTTTCCTTTTTGAGTGTGTAGGTAAGTAAATAAGCAGTCATTTAGTAGATAATTTTATCCAAAGCATATTGTGCACAAAACGGTGAGCACTTCAGGCAGGGGTGTCTAAACTCGGTCCTGGAGGGCCACTGTCTTGCAGAGTTTAGCTCCAACCTTAATTAAACACACCTGAACCAGCTAATCAAGGTCTTACTAGACATACTAGAAACATCCAGGGCACCAGCCCTCCAGGACAGAGTTTGGAGACCCCTGACTTCAGGCAATGCAAATTGTATTTTTTTACATGTCAGTACTTTCTGAAATGCGTTTCATAATGCAATGTAAATGCGTGTTTTTACACAAACTCTTTGAATAATAATTTTTTGGTCACAATCCCAGATCATCAACCACTACTCCATGTATCTCTGTAGGTAAGCCCAGAGTGAATGATCAGGCCCCAATATATACTAATACTTAATTAAAAATTAAAAATAAATGCAGTTTAATTTTATTTAATTTAAATACTTTTTAAAATAAACAAATATATTTTTCAAATAAATAATACATTTTTAAAGCTTTAGTCTATTTAGAATATTGTGAAGATTTAAGGCCCGTTCTCACCTAGGATGGTAACTATATTGATTACTATAAAGTTTTAATTATCATTCTAATTCTGTCAGAATAAGGAACTCTACATCATAGCTATAATGATAAGAACGATATTGTTATCACTTTCAAAGTGTTTTTTTTTCCAGCAGATGAACGATAAAAAAACATTGACAGCCAATCAGAATCCATCCGACTTTAATGAGCTTGATTTAAAGTGGCAGATGACAAAACGACAGTGCGCACTTATAATAAACAGAACGATATTGTGTGTTGGTGTGGACACTAAAATAATTATCGTTATTGTTCTCTTTATTGTTATTGTTTGTGGTGTGAACAGGCTGTTCAAAAGGGAGTTCTCTACTATAATTTCATCTTTTTGAAAAAAACAAAAAGTAATGTACAAGACCAATTCAAGCAATGCAAATTCAATTTCACATGTCATTACTTTCTGAAACGCAAATCATAATGCAGCGCAAATGTGGGTTGCTATAGAACCTATAACCTTTTAGCTACAATCCAATGGTCTCTCTAGGTAAGCCCAGAGTGGACGGCCAGGCCCCGGTGCCTTCATGGGTCATCATTAGTGACAAACCAGCCACTGTAACAACTTCCTTCCCTTCCATCACTGTTCCTGAACCCAAACCTGCTCCTGCTATTCGGAAACCCAACACCATCTTACTGGAGGTCCAGTCAGAACCGAAGAGACGGACCCCACAGCTCCAAATACAGGTAAGAGCTGTAACACACAGTAGTATCTCAGTTTTACATTTTTGTTGCTTTTACAATTAAAATATTATTATATTAATTAAGTATTTGGACAGAAGTAATGGCACTGTGTGATAACCAATTAGTATGATAGTGTGAGGCAATAAATAGTTTCTTCCTTGGTATTACACTACTAAAAGTTTGGACTCAGTAAAATTTTTTTAAAACAAAGTAATACTTTTATTCAACAAAATTATAAAGACATCTATAATTTTACAAAAGATTTTAGTTTCAAATAAATGCTTTTGAACTTTCTATTCATCAAAGAATCTTCTATCACAGAAAAATTTATCATGGTTTCCACAAAAATATTAAGCAGCACAACTGTTTTCAACATTGATAATGAAAAGAAATGTTTCTTGAGCAGCAAATCAGCATATTAGAATGATTTCTGAAGGATCATGTGACACTGAAGATTGGAGAAATTATGCTGAAAATTCAGCTTGGCATCACGGCAAAAAAATACATTTTCAAATATATTTAAATAGAAACTTTTTTTTTTTTTTTTACTAGCAATAATTGTGTTTTTTTCCATCAAATAAATGTAGCCTTGGTGAACATAAGAGACTTCTTTCAAACAATAAAAAATCTCACCAACCACAGACTATTGAATGGTAGTGTATGTTTGTTGCATTATGCTGAACAACTCTGCCCACAGTGAAATGTCATTGGTTCAAAAATTACACTCCTGTTAATAGGTAATATGTTTATCTTCATATATATTTTGATTTTGTCAATCAGATTTTCACTTTCCTACTGCAAGCTGAATGGCTATTGTTCCACATGCTGTTTTTATTCAAATGGATTTGTGTTTTGTTTGCAGGTCCAGCCTGGTGTGAACATTGAGAGTGGTCTGTGCATCCGGCCAGCTTCCTCGTCTACACCATTGATTCCAGCCGAAACCATCCTTCCTCCACCTTCAACCCATGTAAAACCCAAATCACCAACTACACTAAGTAGACCCTTATTATTTAGTTGGCCTTTCGTTGGCCTTCGTAGCATTCTTCGTAGCATTCTCCATATTTCATTCTCCATGTTTTGTACCAAAGCAATTGCTAATACTTCTGCAGACTTTCAGATGTATCATACACCCAGAACATACGTCATCTAACATGTACATTTGCTTGTGTGTGTGTGTTCACACACCAGCTGGTCTTGGCGCCGTTCTGAGAATGGATGGATATTATGCCATTAGATTTTGGCTGTGCTCCAGCATCCTGTACTGCTATAAGGGTCGGTTTTGTTCCAGGTTTGCATTTCTCATCGAACTGCCATTGATTTTTGCCAAGCCGTGCATGCTTGTGTGCTCGTGCTCTCAGAACCTGCTCGAGCGGATGAAGATGGATGAGGTGTGTGCGTTTGCGTGTGTGTATGGAGCTGAATGTATAATGTTTCAGGGGGGACATTGCCGGCAGCGTTTTCTGCTCTTACTCCTCCAATCCCGACCTCAGCCATTCACATCTGGTTGCTAGGCAACAGATGCAGCTCCGTAGCTTTTCTGTGGGTTCGTTAGCAGATTCTGAGCAAGCGTCTAGGAGGACAAAGCCTCTCTGTGGTCTGTCTGCTGATGTTAGCATCAGAGCAATCATTACAGTTCTCTGGAAGTAATCGTATATGCGCATCTTCTATATTCAGGCTAGAATCTGTGAAGTTAATTTGTGGAGCGTGTGTGTATATATATATATATATATATATATATATATATATATATATATATATATACACAAGCACATACTTGTGTTCCCACATCAGTTTCAATTTCATAGTAACAGCAGCCTAGACATCCAGCTGAGGAACTATATCAGCTGTCTGAAGAATCTTTTTTTTTTTTTTGATTTTATTACTATTGTTGTTGAAAAAAAAAACATTTATCACAGTGTGTTTATCATAATGCTTTTGCATGTTTTTGTTAAAGCAGTAGACTTTTAAACATATTCAAATCTACGCACTACAGATAGTTTACAAACAGGTGCAAACACATATGTCTTCCTCTCAGATCCTGTGCCTGATGCAGCTCGGCAGAGGTGTTCTGGTCTGCCAGCTCAGCATGGCTGCGTTCAGCACTCTGTCTGTGCCCAGTTAATGCCCATGACTCATCAGACTGGCAGACCCCAGATTCTACCCACACGCACACACACACACACTACTGCTATAAGGGTCGGTTTTGTTCCAGGTTTGCATTTCTCATCGAACTGCCATTGATTTTTGCCAAGCCGTGCATGCTTGTGTGCTCGTGCTCTCAGAACCTGCTCGAGCGGATGAAGATGGATGAGGTGTGTGCGTTTGCGTGTGTGTATGGAGCTGAATGTATAATGTTTCAGGGGGGACATTGCCGGCAGCGTTTTCTGCTCTTACTCCTCCAATCCCGACCTCAGCCATTCACATCTGGTTGCTAGGCAACAGATGCAGCTCCGTAGCTTTTCTGTGGGTTCGTTAGCAGATTCTGAGCAAGCGTCTAGGAGGACAAAGCCTCTCTGTGGTCTGTCTGCTGATGTTAGCATCAGAGCAATCATTACAGTTCTCTGGAAGTAAGCGTAGATGCGCATCTTCTATATTCAGGCTAGAATCTGTGAAGTTAATTTGTGGTTTCCTTTTGACTATGCATTGAGGTTGAGTTCACAATTAATCACATCAAAAATATAATTTTAAAATAAAAATCAACACATTTTAAAACTTAAAATGCATTTCTATATAAGTAAAAAAATATACATTTTTATAAAATAAATAATGTAATTTTTTTAAATAAAGCTTTAGACTGTTTTTAGAATATTGTAAAGAAATAAACTATCATGTTTAATCGAGCTTG